ATCTACTTAATGTCGAATAAATCTGAATCTTTTGAGAAATTCATAGAATTTCAGAAAGAAGTTGAAAATCAACTTGGCAAGAAAATTAAAGCACTTTGATCGGATCGAGGTGGCGAATATTTGAGCCATGAATTCGACGATCACTTGAAAGAAAATGGTATTCTTTCAGAGTTGACACCTCCTGGAACTCCTCAATGGAACGGAGTGTCCGAACGGAGGAATCGAACCTTGTTAGACATGGTTCGATCAATGATGGGTCTTATTGAACTTCCTATCTCTTTTTAGGGACATGCGCTACAAACCGCGGCACTAACACTGAAACGTGCTCCGTCAAAAGCTGTTGAAAAGACTCCATATGAATTATGGACTAAGAAACCTCATAGGTTGTCTTTTCTCAAGATTTGGGGATGCGAAGCATATGTCAAGCGATAAATTTCGGACAAACTTCACCCCAAATCGGATAAGTGTTTCTTTTTGGGATATCCAAAAGAAACCAAAGGGTATTACTTCTACAATAAATCCGAGAACAAAGTGTTTGTTGCTCGTGATGGTGTCTTTTTGGAGAAGGAACACCTTTCCAAAATGACAAGTGGGAGGAAAATCGAACTCGACGAAGTTCGAGAGGACGAGCAACAATGTCAACCTGATAAAACTGACAATCTAAGTGCTTTGGAAGCAGCTGAGAAAATTGGTCAGAATCAAACAGACAATGTAAATGCTCAACCTATTACCCTTCGTAGGTCGCAACGACAAAGATCTCTACCAGACAGATACCTTGGTATTGTCTTAACCGATGATCAAGACATCCTAGTTATGGATGGAGATGAGCCAGCGACATACAAGCAAGCTATGACGAGCCCCAACTCTGCTAAATGGCGAGAGGCCATGAAATTCGAGATGGACTCCATGTCTGAAAATCAAGTCTGGGACTTGGTGAATTTGCCCGAGGATTACACACCCATTGGTTGCAAATGGATCTTCAAATTGAAGACAGACAAGGATGGAAATGTACCTATATACAACGCTAGACTGGTGGCAAAAGGTTATAGACAAATCCTCGCGATTGACTATGATTACCTTTTCACCGGTTGCAATGCTAAAGTCTGTCCGGATTATTCTAGCGATTGCTGCATATTACGATTATGAAATATGGCAGATGGATGTCAAAACCGCCTTCCTAAATGGGATTTTGGAAGAAACTGTGTATATGACACAGCCAGAAGGTTTTGTCGATCCGAGCAACGCTGGAAAGGTTAGCAAGCTTAAGAAGTCCATTTATGGACTAAAGCAAGCCAGCAGGAGTTGGAATCTGCGATTTGATGAAGTTATAAGCAAGTTTGGTTTTATCAAGAATCCAGATGAATCTTGTGTATACAAGAAGGTCAGTGGGAGTGACATCGCATTCCTAGTCCTATATGTAGATGACATACTGCTCATTGGAAACAGCACAAATTTACTTTAGTCCGTAAAGGGCTGGTTGGGAAAGTGCTTTTCAATTAAGGACTTAGGCGAGGCACAGTACATATTGGGCATCAAGATCTACAGGGATAGATCTAAGAGGATGATTGGATTGAGCCAGAGTACTTACATTGATAAAGTACTGGCACGATTCAACATGTAGAATGCCAAAAGAGGGCATCTACCCATGTCCCATGGCGTAACTCTCAGCAAGAAACAGTGTCCATAAACACCTGTTGAGCGAGAGAGAATGGATCAGATTCCATATGCTTCGCTAATTGGGTCGATCATGTATACCATGATATGTACCAGGCCAGATGTATCGTATGCCTTGAGTGCTACGAGCCGATACCAATCAAACCCAGGAGAGGCGCATTGGACTGCGGCCAAGAATATCCTGAAGTGCCTGTAAAGGAACAAGGATAAATTCCTGGTTTATGGTGGCCATAAAGACCTGGTTGTTGAAGGTTACACCGACGCTAGCTTCCAGACTGACAGAGACGACTTCAAGTCACAGTCAGGGTACATATTCTGTCTGAATGGAGGAGCGTTTAGCTGGAAGAGTGCTAAGTAGAGCACCACTGCAGACTCTACAAATGAAGCCAAATACTTGGCTGCTTCAGAAGCTGCTAAGGAGGCTATTTGGATTCGCAAGTTCATCAGTAAACTTGGTGTAGTACCCTCCATCAAGGGTCCAATAGATCTCTACTATGACAACAATGGAGCTATCGCTCAGGCCAGAGAGCCAGAAGAGAACCAGAAGGTCAAACATGTCCAAAGGCGATTTCACATGATAAGGGAATGGAAATCCGAAGGTGAAATCAGAATTTGCAAGATCAGCACGGATGATAATGTGGCCGATCCTTTGACTAAACCTTTGCCTCAAGTAAAACACAACAAGCACGTTGAGGCAATGGGAATCAAGCACATCGGAGACTGGCTTTGAAATTCCCTGTACATGTGTTTTAATTAAACAGGTTGTTTTAATGTAAGACACTTTATGGAGTAATTAATTTTTGTGCAAAATTATCATTCACTCCATTACTATTTAATTGTGGTTTAGAATTAAATAATAAGTCCATTCAATTTATGGAAATATTCAAAACAGGATATCAAGACCATGTCTTGGATAAAGAAACACCTGTTAAGTGAACATTGAATATTTAAATCGAAAATTATCCCTAATCGAGGTCATCTAACTGATGGACGATTGATGACCATCAGAGTTTAATGTGTAGTATGATTTACAGCACCGTTTCTTGTGCTGTAAGGACATAAGGGTCATAAATCATTTGTATTGGTTCCATTTTGGAACTGCACTGGATCGACCTATGAGAGTAATTTAAGATATTCTAAATTATCATAAGTACATTTCTCATTATAGCTATCGGAACTCGTTTCCTCGACCATGAGTATTGTGAAGTTTTCTTGTTTGAGAACTAGTCTCTTTGATGTTGCCTAACGTCTGCTGTAACTGGGGATCATAACAGGAACACTCAGGATATTAGGTCCTCTTAGTAAGAGAAACTTACAATGCAAGACTAGGAATGTCCCCCTGTTAACAATAGGGAACATGTCTTTGTTGTTTACAAGGCCGCTCGAAGAGTGAGACTGTGAAAATGCATGGCTGTGCTCAGATGGATTTTAGAAATCATCTGCTTATTGAAAGTCGAACTCGGAGATCGAAAAACACTTCTGAACGTAATAAGGATGACGATGAATCTTACCTTATAGTTCACGAAGAGACATTAAGCGGCATAGGAAATGGGCTATACACTATATGCACACTTGTCTGGAAGGACAAGTGGGAGATTGAAAGGAATGGTGTCCTTTCAACAAGTGTATTATTCTGATAAAGGGATTAGAATTATTTTATAGCTAATTCTTCAATAAGATCAAGTGATCGGAATGCCTCGGTGGAGGACGCTTCCGATCAGTAATATTAAGGTATAATTAATATTACAGCTTAATCTTAACTAAACCCTTCAGGTCGAACCCAATCGAACATACGATCCGAGGCGACGAATTAATCGGAAGGATTTAATGAGTCGACGGAGTTTTACAAATATAGACGTCGGATATCGAGCCTAGGGCGTCGAGACCGAGCGTCGCAAAATCACAAGCCACAAGTACGAGCATAGTCGTAGCATCACATTGTCCTAGCCATGTGAAGTGCTAGGCTAGGCTAGCCCATCGCAAGCCTAGGCGCACCATGGTGTGCTAGGTGCGCCATACATGCTAGGCGCACTAGGTTGCCCATCGCAGTACCATGTGCGTGTGTGCGTGCCTTCGCATGGCACAACACCACAACATGCGTGCTTGGATGCCTAGGCGCCATCGTAGGCCACACGCGCCAAGCACAGCCCATCGCAGTGGTGGGCACTTGCGTATGTGCGTGTGTGTGTGTGCCGCGCACCATCGCAAGCTCTAGCACAAGCATACGTACTATCGCATGGCTAGGCCAGTGCGTATGTGCGTGTGCGTGTAGGGCATCGCAGCAGCAGCACTAGCCTCACTCAGTGCGCATGCGTGCAAGCCATCGCAGCATCACAGCACCAAGCTTCGCATGCTTGTGCATGTGGCTAGCGAGGCAAGGGGCCAGCATGCGTGGCTCGCTAGCAGCACGCATGCTGGCTATGCGAGTATGTGTAAGAAAGGGTAGGCAGCAGCACCACGCACTAGCTAGCTTGCCTGTGCGTGTGTGTGTGCGATGGCTTGGCAACAGCGCCCAACGCCCAGCACAAGGCGTGGCTCGCTAACAGCACGCAAGTGCTGGGAGGGCTGGGTGATGCGTGTTGTGCGTGCTAGCAAAGCAAGCAGCCAGCTCACTCAAATGCATTGTGGCAGTTTTGTGAGGGTTGGGGACCAAGGCTTGGGCAAAGCCTTGGGGAGCAAGGCAATGGTCCCCCCACCTTTTCTTAGTCCTCACCTAACTCTCTCTCTCCCCTTGACACTTGTTGCATTGTGATTGATTTGATTATTAATTTATTTTGGAATTAAATTAATTATCAAAATTATTCATTCTCCCACATTAGTTGGGAAATGAAGATCAAGGGTTCATTTCCCTATAAATACCAAAGCTTGGGTATTTGGGAAAGAACACACTTGAGTAGAATTGAAAAGGCAACTCTTGATTTGAGTAAACCTCTAATTCGTAAAACTCTTAGTTTTATTTGTCTGGGCCTCGACTAACCTTCGAGGCTTAGGACGCTCGGGTCAGGTTCAAGGGTACGATCCCGTCGGAGGCCTTGTATTTTCGGGGTTGAAGTAAGAGCTCCTCGGTGAGCGAAGCACGCGTCAAAGGTATAATCTTTTATCCTTTATTATGCTTTTAATTATGTTTTGCTTGTCAATTGCATTTATTATGGGGGCGAGTCTTGGTGGGTTTCAAGTGTGGGTCACTACGAAATCACACACGCAATGTTTTGCGCTGTTTGAGCAGGACACAGTTGTGTTCTGCATTGGTTACCTGGCGAGGTCGTCTTGCACAGGAGCATCAGGAGCTGATTGACGGTAGTGGTCTGTCTCACTTACCAGGGATCATGTTTAGGCGTTTTAACTGGCCATTGATTTCTGCATTTGTTGAGAGATGGCAGCGAGATACGAACACCTTTCATATGCCATTTGGGGAGATCACGATCATGCTGCACGTTGTGTACCATATTCTTGGGCTTTGTGTTGATGGTTCCATGGTTTCCACTACTCCTAGCACGGACGTCATACGGGACGCGTGCCAAGTTACCCTGGACATGACTGCGGAAGAGCTGAACGAGAAGTGTGGTCCGAAGACCATTTGGCAGGGTAGTGGGGTGCTGACCGAGAGGATTATGGACTCGACCTTGGAGGAGCAGAGGCCCTTCAGTGTCCATTACATTGGCTACATGTGGTTAGTACTGGGTAGATGTCTGTTTTTGGACAAGAGTGGTAACCGCACTCATCTTTCCTTCCTCAACGAGCTTGTTGTTGAGGAGCTGCAGATTAGTGACTACTCTTGGGGTTCAGCTGCTCTGGCATATTTGTATCTCCAAAAGGGTACGACATCAAGAAAAGATGCCGATTCAATCGCTAGTTGTCTCACGCTTCTGCAGGCGTGGATCTACGAGTACTTTCTGTGCTTCCGGCCTCAGCAGGGTACCTTGACGAGGGTGCTTAGTATTCCTCGTGCATGTGCTTGGGATGTGGGATCGGGGTTCCCGAACAAGAGCATGGAGCGCCTGCTCGCTTTTCGTGCTCGATTGGATCAGCTGACCGATAATGAGGTTAACTAGCTACCGTACGGAGTTGATCCCGCTCGACGCGTGCCAGCCACTCTATTCATTGGCTGCATCCAGTATCGTAGCATCATTGAGTCATACATGCCTGATCGAGTGGTCCGACAGCTTGGATTCGTGCAGGAGATTCCGCGAACCATTATCAGGCCTGAGAAGGCCAAGAGACCGACGAACCTGAAGATGTATCGGGTTGACTTTCCGACCGAGATGACATCTATGATGTGGACTCAGTTTGTCCTTGGCTCGTCTTTCAGTATTGTTTTAGGTTCCCTCACCAGACTCGGTGGTGGAGGTGCTACGGTCGCTCCTAGTTACATGAAGTGGCTGTACCGATTTTCTCATCCTCGTCTTTCTCTTGGTGGGTCATCAGATGGGAGTAGCAGACTTCCCGAGAGGACTTACACGAACTATGTTAGTTGTCTTTTATTATACTGTAAATATTACTTAAACAAATTTTAATTTCTATAACTAATATGTTGTTCTATTACTTGTAGTGGATGGGTCTGTCCTTGGAGATCCACCGAAGATCACTGCATGAGTATCCCAGCATGACGCGTGAAACGAGGGCAATGACTGAGTAGCTGATAGCTGACTGGAAGGCGATGATGGGGTTGTGAAGTACTTGTCTTTTAGTTTTATATTAGCAAACATTGATTGTTTTAAAGTACTTGTACGCACTTCGTTAGTTCATTGATTTTTATTATTTTTATTATTATGACTTTTATGATTATGATTATGATTACTATGATTATTATTATTATATTTATGATTATTGTTGTTGTTGTTGTTAATATTATTGTTATTATTATTATTAGTTTATGTTAATTAGTTAATAACAAAAAATATTATTATTATTATTATTATTATTATTATTATTATTATTATTATGTTAAAGAGTTTATGTTTATGTTCATGTTAATGAGTTAATAACAAAAATGTTAATAACAAAAATGATTTACATATTACATATCTACAACTGTTCACCATAAATGAATGTACATAAATGAGTTTGCTATCTAATTAACGCATCCCACATGTTCCGCTAACTGCATAACGTTAATCCCAACCGTCAACACTTGGCTCGTGGTGCTCGGTCAACCAACCTGCAATCGAGGGAAGTGGTGAATCTGGTGCAAGATCAATACGGATAAAATGTGAGCCCCCCATTGTAGCAATCACAAACTCTCGGGCAAGTGCCGTGACTGTCCTTCGTGCCCGCAACGGCAAGATCGTGAGGCATGGGTAGTAGCAGGTTGGTACTTGGCCTACACCAAGAATAATAACCATTGTGTTGAACCAAGTAGCAATAGGAAATAAATCTTGAATTGCAACCATCCAATGACGGGAATCAACCGCCCCACCGTCCCATCGAATACGCTCCACGTTCATCCCAAGCCTTCCAAGCCCGTATATCCTTTTGTACAGGACTAGATAACCGAGGACCTCGTTAGCTATTGTTTCTCGAGCGTCATACCATTGCCCCTGGTCACCGAAGAAGAAGTCGGCCACACAACGAAAGCCGTAGTTACCATCGCCAATGACATCCTTCCATCCTGTGATGTAAGGCAATGTCGGTCCTGGAAGCAAGTGTCGATACCGGCTTTGGCTGATGTCACATGGATATTTTGCACGAAATTAGAGTTCAGCTATTAGTACAGTAAATGTTGAAATACGTGAAAATAAAAATAGCCAATCGTACCTGTTTGCTGCGGACCACGTTGAGTGTTTCAACGGTTGACATGTTCGAAATAACAAGGATCACGTCTTGCATCATTACTCCTTCGTCGACCCCGAACGTTGAGGTTTACAGCAGGATCTCCAAGGTTTGAATGATCCGAATGCAACTCCTCCTCAATGATGCGAGATACATTTCGAAGAACACAGGATCACTACCGATTACCTCGTCCACCAGCGAACGAAAATGTGTGGCGTCCTCGATCGAGTCATTACCAAACACCGGTACATCATCACCATCACCGATAACCAAGGTCTTCTAGAATGGGTGAATTTTCCTGGTATACAAGCCTGTCGCGGCAGCTAGAGAATCATGTATCTGGCAAGCACACGGCATACCGTGGGTCACACGCATTGCACATCCACATCGCTCATACACCTGATAACTCAGCTCCCTCATCTGTTTCGTCTCGTCGTCGAGAACCTTCAAACAATGCTGAGACGCCTTGCCGTTAATACGTGATAGTGGCAATTGTCGGTACTTCTGACCAATCTTCGACCTAGACGCCTCCAAACCATTACGAATGGCGATGATCTGATTACCAATGTGGCAATGAACTCGGGCCCATACGGTATCCAAAGAACCTGCACATTACAAAAAAACCGTCGGGAGTGATAATAATAATAATAATAATAATAATAATAATAATAATAATAATAATAATAATAATAATAATAATAATAATAATAATAATAATAATAATAATAACGCTAATAATAATAACAAAAATCATAACAATAATAATAATTATCATAATAAAAATAATAATAATATTCATAATAATCAATAACTACAGCATAGTCCAAACAACGAACCTGTCGAAGATTCAAACCACATCTTCACGGCCGAATGTTGGCTCTCAACTCTGCAAGTGCTGGTGTTGCCAAAACGCAGATTTGGTTTGTCCAAAATGTCACAAACTTGGTTTTATGACAAAGCCACGTTCTCTCTACATATTGTATCACCGCAGGATAACTTGCCCACCAATCTTTCATTGTTTGTATAGCAGCATTATAATCCTCCTCGGTTGCAGCATCCATGATACGTTTCCATTTCCCATTTTTGAAACTCGCACCGATCTTCTTGTTTTTGAACATATCAGTGACCCGAGCCTCCAGATATTTGTTAATGTGCCATCAACAAAGTAAGTGCGGGGTCCTTGGAAACACTTCTCTCAATGCCGCACATAGCCCAAGCTCACATTCTGTTAAAAAAACTGACGGTTCCCTATCATACCCAATCAAGTCTCTCTGTCTCTGCAGAACCCATCGATAGCTTGCCGTGCACTCGTTACGCATGAACACATAACCAACGAGGAAATTCTGATTTGTCGGTGTCACGCCTACTATCTCAAAGAACGACATCCCGTATCGGTTGGTCTTGTAAGTGGAATCCATACCGATCACATATGGGTACGTCCGTAGTATGTCTACCGTGACTGGGTGCACCATAAAGGCGTGCTGTAAAACACCTACATCATCAGACATGACCCAGTACAGATATTGACTCTGTCTCGCCAAATGTAGAAATTGCTGAACTACTCCTCTTCCATCAGACATCTCCGTTCTCAAGTCATTCCGGCAGTTGTAGATGTGTCTGATGTTTGGATGATCATCAGGAAATTGCTCGGCAATTGTCGCCATGATGTTACGCGGTGCCACCTTAGACTTCGTCATGTCATGCACAACCTTCTTCGCATCCGGGCTCAACCCACTAATTTTCCGATGCCCCTCCTGATACACAATCATTGGATGGTTAAGGGTCCCAGTTGCATCATTTTTTGCCCGGATCTTCCAACTGTCGGTGACGAACTCGTAATATATCTTGATGTAGAAAGGACAACCATTGGCTTTGGTTTTAGTGTCCTTCCGAATTGCGTTCCCAAGATCTCTCGGCTCTCTCCTACGTCCCCGGTCACATCTCAAATACCGATACGGCCTACCATCCCTGGTTTTGTTGAAAGACAATTTGTCCAAAATAAATCCCAGATTTATGGCAACAGCATCCGCCCATTGAACTGCATCATCAAACGTTCGAAAAAACGTATCTGTGATAAAATTCGCACTGTAATTCACACCGTCACCGCCTTCTTCAAACTCCGAATCCTTTAAAAATACAAGAAAACACAAAAAACACGCCAATATTAGTATTTTACTTATAATAATAACAACACCAATATTTTTTAAACAACAACAACAACAACAACAACAACAACAACAACAACAACAACAACAACAACAATAATAATAATAATAATAATATAACATTAACTAATATTAACTAACATCAACTAACACTAACATTAACTAATATGACAATATTAACTAACATAAACTAACACTAACATTGACTAACATTAACTCATTAACATAAACTAATACTTACAAAAATAACTAACAATAACAATAATAACAATATTAATAACAATTACATAAACTAATACTAACAAAAAAAAACCGAATAATAATAACAATAAGTACAATAATAACAACAACAACAACAACAATAATCATAACAATACTAAATAATAATAATAAAAATAATAATAATAATAATAATAATAATAATCATAATCATAATCATAACCATAATCATAAAAATAATAATAATAATAATAATAATCATAACAAAAATAATAATAATAATAATAATAATAAGCAAAACAAAAAAAATAATAATCATAATAATAAAATTAATAATATTAATCAATAACAAAAAAATAAAAATATTTGAAAAAGGGACTTCCGCCCAAAATTTCCGGAAGATCCGGAAATTTCAGGCGGAAGTCCCTTTTCCAAAAAAAAAAAAAAAATTCCGACTTACCGATTCTTCCGAAGATGCCTCCGGCGTACGATCGTCGTCGTCGTTCATCGTCCAAAACCCATCGCTAAACCTTGATAATTTATTTTTTTTAACAAAAAATTAATACTTTTGGAGGTGGGCTCGGGAATTTCGGACCTCGGGATTTTTTAAAGGCAAGTTGCTCGGCTCAAAGACCTCGGGAATAATATTAAACTGCTCGGTATACTATGTGACAAAGTGGTGGAGCCTTATATAGGTTAAATTAACACAAGGGCAAAACGGTAATTTCACATTTAAATGGGAGCGTCACCATGTAAATTGGGAGCGTCGAATAGCAGTTCACTAATTATCTAACATATTTAAAATTATTCTATTTTACAAAAATATTTACAAAATATTAACAGTCTAACACACCCCCGTAATCAAAACGGGAGGTCTACGAACGCTGAGACTGTCCCTG